CCCTTGAAAGACTCTTGATGAGGCACCAAAATGTCACTCCCTGGGATAAAAGACTCTTGATTGCCTGTTACATATCTGCAAAATGCTAAAGAGAGAGGGGGAAGAGTGAAATCTTACTTTGTTCTCATTCATGACTACTCCCTTTAGCTGGGTGCCAGAGATCAGCCTTAGCCAAAAGTCTGCAAGGCTAACAGATGTCTCTCTCCCCCCGCCCCCTCAGATCTGCAGGTGAAAAAGCTCCCATGCGGAAGAGGATTTATTCACAGGCTTGGAAGTCTTGGTCTGCAAGTGTTTTAGTCCTACTGATGGGAGGAGTTGGCAGAGGACTCTTGGGTCTGACAGAAATGTCTGCTTGTCGTAAAGGATAGAGTACTCCTGCATTGCTGGTTCTGAGCCATTCAAGAGTGCAGATAATATGTACTCTTGCCTCCAGTAGTGATTTTGATCATCGTATCCAATGCAGATCCAAACAGCCTATCTCCAATTAAGGGGATCCACAGAGTTGCCTTCTTTGAAGTCCGAGTGGCAGGCCACTTCACCAACAGGGCTCTGTGCATGACCACTAGGTTAGGCTGAGATAAGACAAGATGGCTCAAGTCCAACACAGCATTACAAAGGAAGGTAAGTGCCTATGCCCTTTTCTTCATTCTCTCTACAAGATTTTTATAACCATTTTTAAAAATTAACTCTAAACACAATAACTAAGTTAGAGTATTTGTGACACTAAGGCTGATGCCCAAACTGGCTAGAATATATTTAGATCTTGCTAGAGACTCTAGTTGCTGTCTGAGAAGTCCTGAAAGATAGGCATATTCTCAACTTGAAAGGTAGTTGCCTTGCTAAGGTGTGAGACAGGTGGATCCACTACAGGGGGTAGCCTACTTTATGTAAAGTCCTTATCAAATGGGTAATGGAAAGAAAGACCTTTGTGAGGAGAAACTGTTTAAAGGATTACTAAAGGCAGTGCATTTTTTTTACCTTAATGCATTCTCTACTTTAACCAGTTGCCGTCCGCCCGTAGTAGAAAAAATAAAAACCCCCAGTGGTGAATAAATACCACCAAATGAAAGCTCTATCTGTCCTCAAAAAAGGGTATAAAATTCATTTCAGTACAGCGCTGCATGACGGAATAAATGTCAGTCAAAGTACCGCAGCGCTGAATACTGAAAAATGGCCTGGATGGGAAGGGGGTTTAACACCGCGGATGTCAACTGGTTAAAGTAAAAAACATTCAGTACCTTACTGTGTGTCCCCCCAAACATACCTGTCAGCGCCGTTTAGTCACCACTGCCGCTCCCCGAAGCGATCCTCCATCCAAACTTCCTGGTTGCGGAGATTGAGGGCAGAGGAGCTATTACCAAGTCCATACCGTTGGGTAACAAAAATAAAAGAACTAAGCCTGCACGTCTAAATAAAACAGTGAAACAACACATCAAGGACAAGAGCATGGCATTTAAAAAATATAAGATGGAAGGGACAGCATTGGCATTCCGGAACTACAAGGAATGTAATAAAAGATGTAAACACGAAATCCGGGCAGCTAAAATAGAGTACAAAAAGCATATCGCCCCAGTCAGTGAGATGAACCCGCAAAAATTCTTCCGATATATAAACAGTAAAAGGGTAAGAAAAGAGCAAATAGGCCCAATAAAAGACGAGAACGGGATCACAAACGACAGGGAGAGGGCCAAGGTGTTGAATAATTTTTTCTTCTCAGTATACACTCGGGAAAAAGACGAGTTTAATGGAGAGTAGCCCAGTGCGAAAAATATCACAGTGGCTGACAGTTCAGCAAAGACTTGAAAAACGTAATGCAAATAAAGCATTATGACCAGATAACCTGCACCACAAGGTACTTAAAGAACTCAGCTAGGTTTTCAAGGACTCCATAATGACTGGTACGGTACCAAATGACTGGCAGAAGGCTACGGTAGTACCAATATTCAAAAAAGGGTCAAGATGCCAACCTGGGAACTACAGACCGGTCAGTCTAACATCAATAGTATGCAAACTGTTAGAGGGAATGATAAAGGGCTATTTAGTGGAGTTTGTTCGTGAAAATGGTATAATAAATGATAATCAGCATGGATTTAGGAAGGACCGTTCTTGTCAGACACACTTACTAACATTCTATGAAGAGGTGAGTAGAGATCTGGATGGATGGAGGGAGGCTGGTGGATGGCGGGAGGCCAACCTGGATTTTTTTTAAAGCATTTGACACAGTACCACAAACGCTTGATACACAAGCTGAGATCTATGGGCATAGATGAAATGTCGTGCACATGAATAGAGAACTGGCTACAGGAACGTGTCCAGAGAGTATTGATAAATGGCCCTTTTTCAGATTGGTCTAGGGTCATGAGTGGCGTGCCCCAGGGTTCTGAGCTAGGCCCCATACTGTTTAACCTGTTTATTAACGATATCGGGGAGGGCGTCAATGGCCATGTTTCTGTGTTTGCTGATGATACTAAAATCGGGAGGGTAATAGACTCGGGCTTAGACACTATAGCATTGCAGGAAGACCTGGATAAAATAGGGGAGTGGGCAACTATATGGCAGATGAGGTTTAATGTTGATAAATGCAAAGTAATGCACTTTGGGATTAAAAATATGTCGGAACTATTTGGGGCTAAAAGGAATTCAACTATAAGGCCTATACTTCTTGTTCTACATAATGTAACATTGGCGTCCAGGAAGCCTTCTTTGTTCTGTCTATTCTATCAGTATATAAAGGTGAAATTGAGTTCATGGTTTCTGGACAAAGACTAACATCAGCAATTCTCAGAGCCTTACCACATACATTCCCAGGCTGTAAATTGTGGGGGTACCAGACAACAACGGCGAGATAAGGACTAACCATGGTACCAGACTGTGTTAGAATGAGATTGATGGAACTGCCATGTCTCAAACTTAAAGAACAAAAGAGACTACCATGATATATTTTTTTCTTTTCTCATCATAGGAAAATGAGCTCACTATAAATATTACCTTATATACAGTATTATTATTTTATGAGAATGGTATTAACAATAATTTCAATTGTATTATTAGTATTGCATGAAGCATTTAAATATTTACTTGAGTAATTCTATATATTATTAATATGGTGGAGGGTTTTTAAAGTACAAATAATTATCTTGGGTATACTGTTATTTTGTAACCAGTGAAAGAATGTGAGTTGACCACTGTCTTTAGACACCTTCCTCAGAGACCATAACATACAGGGGTACAGGTACTCTTAAAAACAAAATCACATGGGGACTCGTATACCCACATACACAATCACATACATACACACAATAGGTTGAACTTGATGGACTGGTGTCTTTTTTTCAACCTTAAAGGAGAACTATGAGGTGAGTGCTTTTCACTCACCTCATAGTTCTGGCTGACCTGTGACAATGAGACTGTCGCAGGTCGGCTCAGTAGATCGGGAAGTGAGTGAACACATACCGGCGTTCACTCACTTCTCGATCCTGTCACAGCTCTCTGCCATGACAGGGGAGTGGCTGGATTCCCCCCTCCCCGATCCTCCAGCGCTGACTGGCGGAACGGACGGGGAAGGGGTCGGGTACCGCTGCCTCTAGATAGGCAGAGCCAGCTGTCACTCACGCAGCTAGGCGGATCCAGACATAATTGTCGGGATCCGATTCAGCTGCGGCGTCTCAGTATACCGCGAGCTGTAGCTCGCAGTATACTGAGCTTAGGGTGATGGGAGGACACTAGTTTGTGTCCTCCCGTTACCCTAAGGAGAACTATGGGGAAAAGCCCTAACTCCATAGTTCTCCTTTAAATACTATGTTTTAACACTTCTAGCAGGGGGGCCCTGCTGTAAGCAATATCCAGATATGCCAAGGCACAGATGTGGATAGCTGTCACAGAGCAATACCTAATGTTTCAGAAAATTTATTTTTGAACTCCGATATACCACGTGATATCAACTAGCTGGTCTTTGATGGGGAAAAAAATCCAGAAGAAAAAAAGCTTGATCCAGCAGAAGAAGCTGAAGAGACATATTAATGTCTTCGGACACTTAACAGGGCATGCTTGGCAGGGGTGGGGTTATGGGTTATTGTGGACTGGCCCCTAGAACTTAGTGTCCAAAACTACCTGTAGGTGGCTGTTTGGAATCAAAAGAGCTGAGTCCCTCAAACAATACAGGGAAATACAAAAAGCTTTGGCTTTACATACGCTTTAAACAGCTAGCACAGACAGTAAAATACAGCAACCAGGTTGAGGCAAAAACACTGCTCAATGCAACTACATTGGCTCTAGACATAAAGGGGCACTCATATCAAAAACATTTTGCATATAAAAATATTTAGGGGTCAATGCCAATTAGTTTTAATTGGCAAGTTCACTTTCCAATTTGAATTTGAGAAAATGAAAATCCCTGTTCCAATTGGACCCACTCCCCAGCTATACTTTCTGCGACCCTGTACTGCCATGTAGCGCAGCCCTGCACTATAGATTTTGAATTTCGCTCATGTCGAGCACTCATTGGTCAGCGTGGTCACCTGACTGCGTGGTCTGACCACCCTGACCAATGACAAGAGATTCTCATTGTTTGGCGTGGTCAGGTGATGACCAATAAATTCAAAATCCATAGTGCAGGGCTGCACTACACGGCAGTATAGTAAAGCTTACTATACTAGAATTCTGACTAAAGCTGGCCATACGCTGCCCAAGTTTTGGCAGAGTCCTGCCGAAATTCAAGTAGGGTGCCACACACTTGCCAAAAGTTGACTTTGCTCAAATGATGGGGGCAACTTTTGGCAAATTAGTTGGTCTGCAGTTGGCTGCATAATGACTGCAACACTCACCAGTGTTAGCAAACAATAGCCCTGTAGGGGGATCCCCCCCAACATTAGTATGTTGACACACAAAGCACAGAAGGCAATGCATAAAAAGTACAATAAGACACATAAACGGAGCATAGAACGAGAAAAGGTAGATGAAATCATAAGTGACAAACAATGAGGAAAATAATAACAGCTCACCTGACTAACTTCACTGTCTGTAGACCTGCCACGAATTTTCTTGTCATCTTCAGAGTTTTCCTATGAATTAAATGAATTAAAGCAACATTAAAGTGCATCTCCAGACATCTTTCCCCCTTCCTTTCCAATAACCTCTCTTGCCAACTTTTCAGCCATTTACCTTTCTAACATTTCTTAGGGCATCCTGAGGAGGTGTTTTTGTTAACCTTTTAACAGACGTATATAAATATAGTTTAGGTATAAAAAAAAAACTAATTTCAAAGGGTGCCTTCCCAGGTGCAGTATTCCTTTATCAAGTGCATATAAATAGATAAAAACATACTCACAAGTCTATATAAACAAATAACTTTTCACATGCAGAAACTATGGACCAAAGTCTGCAGTTATTACGGGCAGAATGACATGTATGATTGCTCCAAATAGCAAAACGGCAGATCAACAGCATGTACAGCCCAAGGCTTAACGTGTTTTTGGGAGCCCCGTCCCTTTCTTCAGAGCCTATCCATCTGCCATCCTCACGCGCAAGGAAAAAAGGACTCGCACAGCCAAACATAACAAAGCATAAATGTCTCCTTGGAGACAATTGCACCAATCCCAAGGAGGCTGAAAACTGACATAGCCCCACCCAGTGCCTGTCAAGCAGTTGGGGAGCGAAAAACTGGGACAGCTGCTCATGTACTGCCTCCCAGCCAATCAGTATTGAAGAAAGGCTTAAGCTTTGCTCCCACTTCTTCCCTAAATGAATTGCTATTATTTTTAGATCTTCAAAGATTCATTAGGAAGTTGACCTTTCATAGACATTATCTACTGAAAAACACAATATGTACACTGCAGATTTAGATTTGGGTAACGTGAGTGACCAACTCATAGATTGGGATAAGGTAGACAAGGTGGCCCTGGATTGTTTGGAAGACCTTTGGGATGCTATGGTGCCTGAAAAAGACAGAGTGGAGGTTAGGCCCAGAAAAGAGACATACGGCCTTCAAACCTTCAAGGTTCTATCCACAAAATTCCAAGGGCAACTTCATATTCACCTTCTATTATCTAGTACACTCGTATATGAAACCATTATGTTCTAATAAACGTAAAAAAAACATACAAACCTCACCTTGAAAGAGAAGGAGGCGATCAAAGGGAGGATGATGTCACGTTTGTTAGCAAAAGGTAATAATGCTTGTGGACCACAATATGCAGATATCTGTCAAGTTTGTTATCAAAGGTAATAATTGTTGTGCAACACAATATGCAAATAGGTATTTTTCAACTCAAATGTTTTCACCTCTGGCACATATTAAATGTTAATGCAACTCCAGTTCTCACACGTTGGATGTGCTCAGTTGCTGTTTTGGAATAGATGAGAATATCATCCAAGTAAATAACAATGAAATCATCCAAGAAATCACAAAACATGCCATTCATGAAGTACTGGAAGGTCGCGGGAGCATTACATAGCACGAAAGGCATTAGCAGATATGCATATAGTCCATAGTGGGTCTAAAAAGAAGTCTTAGCACGAAAGGCATTAGCAGATATTCATATAGTCCGCAGTGGGTCTAAAAAGCAGTCTTCCATTCATTGCCCTGTTGTATATGGATGATGTTGTATGCCCCCTTGAGATCAAACGTTGTGAAGTGGTTGGCCTCTTTCTATTAGATCAGGTATGAACGGATGATATTACAATGATTTTATTTAATTCACGGTAATCAATAATAGGTCTCTTGGAACCATCTTTATTGGTCACGAAAAAAAATCCAGCTCCAGCAGGGGAAGATAAAGACCTAATAAATGCCCTTTTTAAATTCTCATCTAGGTATTGCTTTAATGTGTTTAATTCTACTTCTGAAAGAGGATAGACACTGCCTATGGGTATAGCTGCTCCTGGGAGCAAATCAATAGGGCAATCATAAGACCTGTGAGGCGGTAGGTTTTCAGCCTCCTTAGGGTCAAAGACATCTCTAAAATCAATAAAATCAACATTTTTTTTTATCTGGAAGACAGGAAAAAATAATGATTTCATCACTGAGAAGATTTGGTGTTGAGTTTGGTGATTGCTGATATGTATGATAGTTGAATGGGTCTCAAATGTGACAGGTCCATTAGAAACCAGGTTTCCATCAATCACACAAACAAGTATTGGTTCTTTCATTTCCTTTATTGAGATTTTGTTAGCATTCACAAAATCAATATCTATGGAAGAGTTAGTTGCCCCTGAATCCAGGACGGCATCAACTTCATTCTTTGCGTGACGCCACTGTAAAGAGAGGGAGAGAGTGACGTAAGATTTCTTATTTGGAAAATAAGTATGGGGGGAAGTGCCTTACCCTTTTTTTTTATGTGTTGTAGGGTTGGGCAGGTATCCAAATCGTGGGCGGAAGCACAATATAGACATTATTCTCTCTACGTCTCTTTTTCTTCTGCAGAGATGGGGGACCTTTGAAAATTCCCACCTCCATGGGCTCAGGAGGAGTGCGTCTTGCAGGAGGATCTCTTTTAGAAGCCATTGTTAAAGAAGCAACTACTTTTTCTGCCTTTCTCTCTCTAAAGCTGGCCAAACACGTATAGATTATCTTCAGATTTTTTATGGTCAGATGGAAAAGGTGCAACAGATTCCTCCATCTACGCTAAACTGTGTGGATGGAAGAATCTCCCACTGGGCCAAGCTTCAGTATCTTGCTAGTCGGCCCTGCTGGCCCTCAAAACACCTGAACAATGCCTGTTCCAATCAGATTGTTCAGGTATTTTGAGAGCCAGCAGGGTCGATTAGCAAGATACTGAAGCTTGGCCCAGTGGGAAATTCCTCCATCCACACAGTTTAGCGTAGATGGATTAATCTGTTGCACCTTTCCCATCTGACCATAGAAATCTGCAGATAATCTATAGGTGTATGGCCAGCTTTATTCTTCTATCAATGTTAATGCATAAGTGCATGAGTTCATTAAGTGTGGGAGGTGGATCTCACCTTGATAACTCACCTTTTACTGCTTCAGAGAGACCCAGATGAAACTGGTTCTTAAGACTAATGTTATTCCATTCAGTGTCTGGGGCCCATCTTTTTTTTTTTTCTTAAAAATTCTTTATTTAAAGTTTTCAATACAAAAAATTTGTACCCATGCGGATTCGCAGGCCCAGGTACATAGAAGATAGTCGGGACATGTAGCAAGTAAAGTGAATACACACAAGGAAAAGTCCAACCAACAGAATCCACAGATGGGTCATGGTGTAAATACGTGAGGGCACTCTCTCTAGGAAATGGTAAGCTGGTCCGGGAGACCTAACATCGGTAACCATGTGGTTATCTGGATGTACCACCCACTTCATTATACTACTCAGTAAATCTAAATAACGGAGATAAATAGTGGACTAATCCTTTTAATCAAAACCAGAGACAAAGACAAACAAGAAGAACACAGGCTCAACAGGTGTGATGACTACCAGGAGGGAGAGTAGTGGTTGTTGGGCCATCAGGACCCCAAAGTCTGGGGAGTCCAGAAATTCCAACCAATAGAACCACGTTTCTCGGAATTTGGTTTCCGAATGGTGAAGAGCAGCCGTCAGTTCCTCTGAAACACGCAACTCATCCACCTTCAGCAGCCAAACTTGGAGTGTTGGAGGGTCTGAACGCTTCCAAAACAGAGGGATACATGCCCTTGCAGCATTCACCAAGTGAATCAGCAGAGATTTGCGGTACCTTTTCTTTGGTAGCGGGGGGAGGTGTAATGGGGCCTATCTTTTAAACTCTGCTATGTAACCCTTAACGGGGCGGTGACCCTGTTTCAGAGCGCAAATTGTCTGATCAGCTGTGGACCGGCGATTTGGGTCCTCGTACATAACAGCCATAGCCTCAAAGAAGGAATCCAGAGAATGTAATGCATGATCATGATGTTCTAAGAGTATTAGCCCAGGCATGCGGTACCTTACATAGGAGTGATATTACAGTAAGGACTTGTACACGCTCCCTGTGATAGGTTCTTGGCTGAACCACAAATAATAAACGGCATGCATACATGCATTCATGAAAATATGCACAATCTCCAGTAAAGGGTTCTGCCATTGGAATCTTAGGCTCAGGAGATTCAGCACGGCAATGTTCTAAGTCTTTAACATGTTGATGTAAATGTTTATTTTTCTAAATGCATTTCGTACATGCCCTGGGTCAACTAATCTACTCTTTGAGAGAGTTGGGAAATTTTGTTTACCAAATCTGCTGGTTCCATAATCCAGGCTGAAGCAATCTGTCATGTTTGTTAGCAAAGGTAATAATTCTTGTGAAACACAATATGCAGATGCACTATGTTGCCAAAAGTATTGGGACGCCTGCCTTTACACACACACATGAACATCCCAGTCTTAGTCCATAGCGTTCAATATTGAGTTGGCCCACCCTTTGCAGCTAGAACAGCTTCAACTGTGTCTATGGGAATGTTTGACCATCCTTCCAGAAGCACATTTGTGACGCCAGGTGCTGATGTTGGACGAGAAGGCCTGGCTCGCAGTCATAGTTACATAGTATTTGAGGTTGAATAAAGACATCAGTCCATCAAGTCCGCCGTCCATCAGTCGCCGCTCTATTTCATCCCAAAGGTGTTCTATCGTGTTAAGGTCAGGATTCTGTACAGGCCAGTCCAGTTCCTCCACCCTAAACTTGCTCACCCATGTCTTTATGGACCTTCCTTTGTGGACTCGTGCGCAGTCATGTTGGAACAGGAAGGGGCCATCCCCAAATTGTTCCCACAAAGTTGGGAGCATGAAATTCTCCAAAATGTCTTGTTATGCTGATGCCTTAAGAGTTCCCTTCACTGGAACTAAGGGGCCAAGCCCAACCCCTGAAAAACAACCCCACACCCTAATCCCCCCCTCCACCAAACTTTACATTTGGCACAATGCAGTCAGAAAAGTACCGTTCTCCTGGCAACCGCCACAACCAGACATGTCCATCGGATTGCCTTCTCTAGAGTCCAGTGGCGGCGTGCTTTACACCACTGCATCCAACGCTTTGCATTGCACTTGGTGATGTAAGGCTTGGATGCAGCTGCTCGGCCATGGAAACCCATTCCATGAAG